AATCGTTTTAGTGTATCTGTAGATATATGGTACGTGTCTGTGGGGGAAGATATCGATTGAACTGTATGTTTCGCCAAAACCAAACTGTCGCGGAAGCAGAAAAAAGTTGCGAGCGGAAAACCAAAAGCAATTGCGAATCGCTCCGAGGGCTACGCTCGTTAATTACGAGTCGGCGAATAATTAATTATGCACGGTCCGATTAGATACAAAACCGTACGTGGTTGCTGCGGCAGACGTGCCTGAAAATCGCTGGCAAGGCCGTACCGTACAATTAAAGCAGCAGTACAACGCGACCACGGGCGAGAATAAATATACATACGTGGGAACGTGTGATTGTGCGCGCGTAACTAGTACGCGCGCAATGCGCATAATTGTAACAGTGCCGCGAGGTTTTCGGACGGAGTCACTAATGAACGCGAGAAGACACATTTTCGAACACACACAGTCGTTACTTTTATTTTTAAGCCGCTTTTGTTTGCGTGAAAAAACGAACGAGTGTTTGAACGTGTTGTAAGAGGTTGAAGTTTGTGCGGATACGATTTTTTTCCACTTTCCTTTTTCAAATGTAGTGAGAGCAATTAAAATTTGAGAAGAAAAACGATTTATTCTTTTCTTCATGTTTTTAAGATTAATTACTTCTTGAAATTTAGACTTAAACAGTTTAGAAGTAGAAAAGTAATAGATATGTTTTGTTTTATTTGTTTTTAACAGGTCGTTCTCTTGGAAAAGAGTCGCGGCAAATAATGTCTTTTTTATTTTATACTGTTGTAAAGATGGCGTTTAAAAGCTAAATAAAAACTACAGATTATGACAGGAGAAAATATGCAGCGGAGCGCATCATAAATGTAAAGTGACTTTAACTCTTGTCGAAAACTTTGTTTTATCCGTCTCTCTACAAATCCGCGCTACGAAAACTGAATTTTATATATTTAAACTTTGTGTACCTACAGTTTGTCATAAAAATTTATCGCCAATTTTATTTCTTAAAACATTCTTCTCGCGAGGAATAATTGAATAATTCGTTATTTTTCAAAAAGCGCAGCTAATTTAACACATAATTATTACTTAAACTATTCTGTTTTCTCCGACCAATAATACACTTCGTAATTCGGCGTATGTATTATTAACGTGGCTTGGTTAACGTGCACGTGTTCCTACGCCTCCGTCACGTATACCTGGGTATTATGAAACCCAATTTAAAGCGTGCCGCAGTGATCGCCTTGCGGTCACTTTGAAGCTGTTCCTCTACGGCCGGTTCCCAAAGCCGATCCTCTTTGCCTGGCGTTACTCTCTCCCCGGAGGTTGGAAATCTGAGCGCGCGCAAGCCCTTCTCTCTTGATATTCACGGCTTGTCGGATCCAGTGTTGACGCATTTACAATGTGGTCGGCTGATGTCGCCGGTGACACGCCGCACGCCACCCAAGCACCGCACATGCAAATGCTAATCCACGCGCTGATTCGCTGCAAATTGCACATCGCCGCTCTCGTTCCCCTAAGAAATCCCGCGCCAGCTAATTCGCGACCGTGCCCCTTCTGTTCACGAAACCGAGGCAGACGAGGTCGTCGCTAGCCGTTTTAAAATTACCCCCGAGACCGTTGGAAATAACCTCTGAATTATTTACTCGGAAATATTGCAGTGAACGCGGAGCTCTGAAAGTCAGGAGAGAGAGAGAGAGAGATGAAGCTTTCTGCGACCTCATCCAGCCGAGCGTGAACGTCGGTTCAAATTTTCACACTTTGGCCAGCTCCATGTTTCTGTGACGGCATGCACATCGTGGCAATTATGCGCATAATCTTTATAAATTCCGTTGATATTGATGTTCGCTCACGTCACTACGTAAACTACTAGTGTGATAGCACGATCTCAGCTCGCGTTTATTTACCGCATGTATCTTGTTTTACCGAATTAATGTGACTTATGCAGATTCGGACGAAGATGTATGTAGTACTGGGAAAAACAGAAATTAACTTTACACGATCGAGTAACACACACGACTCCGTATCGTTAAATTTTCTAAGACGAACGTCACGTGATGCATACGTTACTAATACGTTCGATTTGGTGTAACTGACTCATAAGTACTTTTTGCACAACCAATCGAGCAGAATGTTCTGTTTGAAATTCGACGCGGAAGTATCGACCTTGTTTCCATTTCTGAATTACGTATAGGAAAGTGCTATGTGCACGTCATGAATGAAATATACGACGCTAACCAGATGTTCTACAACGACGTCGTTAATATTATCGTAGTATACTTGAAACTAATCCAAATATCCATCTATGATCCGTCTGTACTTGTGGATACGTACGTTATATTGTTACGTGAAAATATGTACACACATATATTATATTATTTGTTTAGCGTGGCAATAGAAGTTTCGGAATTAAGCGCGGAATTGATAAAACATGTTATCCCTCCCGCTGAATTCTCCGCAAAAACTTCCAATCTCTTAAATAGCGCTTAATGTGAAACTTTTATTCCATCAAGAGATTTTGCAACATTTAAGGCAGGTCGAGAGCTTTTTGAAAGCACTCAACCTACTTCCATTTAGCCGGATTTTGCCACGTGTAAATCTAGTGTTAAAAATCTTTATTAATAACTTGACGTAGCCTTGGTTCTCTTTCTCCCCTCCCTCTGCCCCCTCTCTCTCGTTTCAGTTTTTAATTCATCTTGAAGAGAAAATTGTAAGAAGTTTAACAAGCTGTTCGGTTGAATATTAGGTTTATCCTCGAACACGGTTCTGAAACCATTCTCCTTTGTGTCCCCGCGAATCTTCCGAGCGAAAGAATTTGGTCTTCGGTGGCGACTTTCGTCACGCGCGCTTGTTAACAATAAGTTCGCCATCGAAGGAAGTTTCGGTGTATTCCCTCTCGACTTCTCTTCTCTCCGGGAAGTTCGAGCGGAACCAATATCTCTCTCTCTCACGGTGACAAATGTCATTGGGTTCCCGGGTACTTTCCACCATTTCGCGCGAATTTCAAGCAAAGTTCGCGGCGGTAAGTTTCGTCCACGATGAGAAAGAGAGGGTAAGATTGTTCGCCGCATTGAGCGAACCACGCGCGCGCGGCGTTCCTTTACGACGAGGGAAAAGACTTGCGGTAAATAACGTTCTTTTTTTTTTCGGCCTGGGCGCGGAACACAGACGCGCGAAACTTTATAGCGGGGAAAATCGTTTAATTTACTTAGAAACTCTCCCGGAGAAACGCGTTTCGGGATCTGACAGTGATGAAGTTGGTTGGGTCGGCGACGGATTCGCAGATTACACGGAATTATACGATCGTGTTCCAATTTTAACTGTCCGATATGTTATTAAGCGCAATTTTCCTCTCGTGTTCTTTCGAATATGTGTTTCTTCTGATAATTTTCTGAGAGAGAAAAGAGACCGGAATCCGATAGTGTTGCCAGGAGAAAATATGGCGTTCTCGCAAACGAGCTTCAGTTGTACGCGGACAGACTTGTTTCACAGTTGAAAAAACAAGATTGAAAATTTTAAATCATTGATATTTTCTTTAAACTTGTTGATATAAAATCTTCTTTTTATATCAACTTTCTGTCGATCGCTCTGACCTAATTTATTCTCGATTAAAATTGAAATCTCACGCTTAAGAACGTTGCGCAAACTCACTGCTCGGAACAGCATAGAAAATATGTTTTATCGAACATTTCTCGTTTTTATCATTTGATATTGAATAAGAAACAACAGTGTGTGTATAAAAATTGAAATTTGTTGCTAATGATAATTCAAGCTTTTACAAGCGTTGTTTGCGATTCAAATGAGGATCGATAGTATACGCGTTCGCGCGGATAATTAAAGTGCGGACGATAAATTATTTTCTTTTTTTGTCACTTTATTAATTTATATAAAAGTCTCGATTCTGCTTTTTTAATTATCTATTATTTTCGCGACACAACATCGCCGAGAGAATTAGAAGAAAGAAACGGAGATCGAAAGAGAGAAAATGTGTGCGTGCGTGTGTGCAAAGCAGCACACGATGCTGCTGGAAAATCATGAAAAATGCTACAGCGCGGTATATTCTAATGCAGATTCTTTACTCAGCGTTCTACATATATAGTACTCAGGGAAATAGCTATTCACTTCCTTTGCAACGCGTAATTCTACTCTTCTGACAGCAACATGTTTATCGCGAAATGTATGCATTGTACATCCGAAGAATATTCAGAAGAGCATGACAAGAAAGAAAGCACGCGGAGATATTTTGAAGAGCTATATCTTTTTCTCAGTCACAATCGCTCGGTATTCTTCAAACATGTATATGTAAACGCGTGAGGGAGAGTCATGGGCTTCGGGAAACAGGTCGCATGAATCATTTAAGGTTGTCAATCCCAGAAGTTCGAGCGAAACTTATTCAGATCAAAGATATCTCGCGGAAATATTTCGCGTCGTTCTCTTTTAACAAAAGAAATCTACTCGAGTCTCATTGGAAATGTAAAACGCTGGAAATGCAACTGTGTTATATACATTACACGCCAACCGCACGCAAACTCCACCACGAGTGCGAACTCTGTGCGGAAGCGGTGATTTACAAGATTCACGTCACTCGCAGGCGAGAGCGGGGAACGTCTCCCCTTTGTATCTAAATGCTGCGTGCAATTAAATTGCGAACATATTTTTCGTCGTTGCAAACATACCTCAGCGCGCAAATGATCGTTAATCATTTCTGTATTATTGTAATACCGCATTGTTCAAGTTAGTCAAGAGGAAGATGTGGAGGGTAAGGAAAGGGAATACCTTAAAACAATGCGCTCTGAGAACGGAGGTAATCAATCTTACTTTAGTCTGAGTATCGTGTATTAGCGCGGCTGGCTCGCATTGCATTCACCTACCCGCGAAATTGAACTAATTGCAATTAATAACTCCACGTGAATACATCCGTGCGCATCTCTCTCTCTCTCTCTCTCTCTCTCTCTCTCTCTCTCTCTCTCTCTCTCTCTCTCTTCCTCTATCTCACTATCTCTTTCTTCTTCTTCTAATTACAGGCATCAGTTTTACCTGCACTCTCGTCTTGAACTAGTCGAGGGTAGATTAAAGGTCTCGGATTGGGGCTCCGTTGCCCGTCTGGTTGCCCTAATAGCCCAGGCCGATGGTGGTGATTATGATGCTCTTTCGCCACCCCACGCACTTTACTCCCAATGCTGTCATATACAACCTGCGGAGCCGTGCGAGCCAAAACCTCAAGACTTTCTACTCCGAATAGTTCAACAGCATAAGGAAATCAAGGTTGGAACATATGCGTCTCGAAAAATATTTTACAGTAACAGAATAATATTAAACAGAAGAAGGGCAGTCGGGATCATTTTTTTATATGCATGGACAAATCGCGGAGTGTGAGTTTGATTAAATTCGATTAAATTCGAAAAATGTGTTTTCGTGTTTCGAACAGTATCCAAAATACTTCCTCTCTTAAACTAGTATAAAGCGCATACGTAACACTGTTTCTGTTATTTAATAACTTTTTTTGTCATTTTTGAACTGTATATTTTTTATTTAGAAAAAGTGTGTGTGCGCGATTGCTTTTGATGAATAAAACACGAGATTTTTTTTTAGTAGATGCGTTTGTAACGTATTTTCCGAATTAAATTTGAAACGAATTTTTTTTGCACGATTTAATATCTGAAAATTGGTGTATGTCAAACAACCGATATGAATGACGGATTTTCAGGGAATGAAATCTTCGACTGCTGAATATTGGCTTCTGAAAGAAATATCGAATCTCGACACATTCGGACAGGAAATGTTCCACAGCAAATTCGGATACAATGGTGTGTCTATGATTGGCGTCGGTCCACACGGAATTACGGTCTACCGTAATCAAGATGAGGAGACACAAAAGTAAATATATACGCAATAAATTAATATCAAACAACATTTTTTAAATTTCACAAAGACCGTTTGTTAAAGTCATAGTAAAAAAAAATATAATTTTTCTCAATCAAATACTTTCCAACATTTCTAGAAACAACGAATAACATCGGTTAAACTGTTGATAAGGAAACAAACTTAAGTTGGTTGTTCGATTGTAAATATGCACGCATAAATTAAAATAATAAGCTGTCATTAAATATTTATATACTTTTATCGCGCATAAATTAAATAGTAAGCTGTCATTAAGTGTCTAATTATTATTACTACTTTATTACATAATCATGATTAACATATACAGTGGAAAATTTCGCATTTATCAACGGGAAATCGAGAGTTGATTTAATATCGTTTCTCGACGATAGGAGACGGCACGTATCGGCTGTTGCGGCTTGTACCATCCGTCGAGACAATCGTCCACTAGATAATCTCAACTTCGTTATCATTATCGTTTTAAACCGCGTGTTTTACATTAATAAAATAACAACATTGCGTATTTATTAATATAGCCGCAGAAATAATTCACGGAAAATGTTTAAACAGATAAACTTTTCCGCGCTTTTGCTTCTCATCTATTATGCAGAAGGAAATGAGATTAGCATCAAAATTTTACTTTGCCTTTGGCGTGTGGTTTAATTTATTATACAATGTATTATGTATTGCGTTACAGTATACCGTATACAGCTATACAAAGCGCTGCGTCACAACGGCGGATGTTTCACTTGGTTTATCTCTCACTCGACGGCGAGGAAACATCGCTGGACTTCAAATTAGACTCGAGCCAGTCCGCCAACGGACTTTATCGAGCGATTACTGAGAAACACGCGTTTTACAGCTGCGAGACAGTCAGAAGCGCAGTCACCGCGCAATTTATCCGCGATTTAAAGGTACTCATCGTAGCAATTTTTAGCTATTTACACTGAAATATACAATTGATGCAATGTACATAAAAAAAAAAATGTTCTCTTAACAACCGAATCTTGTACATTTTATTTTTTATATTAAGATAAAATATTCATCATCTAAATATTCTTCCGTAAAGGTTTTCTTACGTGTCGAACTTGTTTCCTTGTCGAGAGAGTCTCATATTAAAACGTAATTGCAAACCTCTATCGTCTACCTCTCCCTCCCTCTAGGGGACAATAATTTCCATCTTCAACGAGGACTCGACGTTGGGCAAGAAATACGTGTTCGACATACGCAGGACCTGCCGAGAGGTTTACGACAATGCGCGGCGTGCGCTTTACTGCGAAGCGGCGACCATATCTCTGCCGGAAGAGAATGAGATCCTCGAGAGGCACGCGTGCGGCGAGTGCGAGAATCCCAAGTGCAAGGTGAGCGCGATAAATTCGTGTCCTCGCATAATAATTGAACGTACAATTGGTTGCCGAATAGTTTGATACGAGACCGTATATTCGCGCAATCTGTATAATGTTTCCCGCGGAATTGCAGGAATCCCGGGAATGCCTAGCGAGATTATTGGACGCTATGCTTTGCCGGATCTGCATGGATCGAAGTCTGGACACCGCCTTGTTTCCTTGCGGACACGCCGTCGCCTGTTTGGACTGTGCTCGTCGCTGCGAACGTTGCCCATTATGCCGCGCCGACATCGACTACTGCCGCACGATATACCTGCCGATCGAGCTGACGCACATCGACAAACACAATCCAAAGCTATTGTCCGAGACAATCGAGCCCGTATTCAGCAAGCCGGTTACGGAGGAGATAAAAGAGCGAATTTTGGACGGCGAAGCGCCGGTGAACAATAACATTTGAGAACGCCGGACGGTCAGACGCAAAGTCGGCGCGTTCGAGAGATTCCTCAGAATTGTTACTTGTCATACAGGAAGAGCGTATTAAAACGCGAGAGTGAAAACACTTTTCTATTTATCATCAAATCCCGTAGACCAAAATGTTTTTTGACGCGTGTGAAGGTTGTTTTTTACACGATGTCGAATTCGATTGGGAAAAATATTTATCCTGCGCGCCGACTTCTGTTCAATGCTAATACGTAATTGTGTTTTCTAATCGTTGGTTTACCTAAGTCAGATGTTTTCACTCCAATTTTTTTTTACTCATATGATCCACGAAAACGATACACCTACACGGAAAATATAGTTTCGTTATTATACAGCCAGCAAGAAAAATTTATTGTGTCTATTAAATTTTTGTTTCATCAAGAGCATTTTGTTAACAAACCAAAAATCTCAGTAGACTGAGCAATTTTTCTTGCTGGTCATGTAATAGTCAGCTAACTGATTTCTTGCTATTCTAACAATTGTTTTCCGTGTATATAAATGTTTTTTTTTTTAATTGTTAACAAGTTACTTAAACTAGTTGTTTTTTAATCTGATCGATTTTTTAAATATGATTTGGTGAAACTGCCCTTTAATTCGAATTACAAAAATATGAATTCTATTATCATTTTAATAAAATAACAATAAAATACACATATATTGGTAAACATATTTTAAGTTTGTTTGGTAAAGATACAATAAATGAAAAAACATTTAAAAAATTAAAAATATACGTATTGATAAATTGATGTAAACTAAATTAATAAATTTCTTTAATTGTTTAATTAATAGTTATTTCCAAAAAGTTTCTTGCTTCTCTGACCAAAGTAAATATATTATTCAACAATAGTTTTGTAAGCTGGTCTTTCTTGTTTTAAACAAACAGGGTGAGAGAATGGTCTGAAGAAAACAATTTATAAAATTGGAAAATGATTTGATAGTACTGTGATTAAAGATGTTGAAAAGCCACAAGAAAAATACGAGGATAACGTAGATGAAATAAATCACCAAGAAAAAATTATGGAATTACAAACACATTGTTGTCTACACGTATTCGTAATAATGTTAAAAATAGTCCCTTTAATCGAACAGCCGAAAAGTGCTATTAGCAGCATGAATCTATTAATAAATAAATGCTGCCGATTTGTGTGAGGAAAGAGATGCGAGTCTATGTTAAGAAGAGACACAATCCGAGAACACTTTCCGCAAATTGTTTATTTTCAACTGACGATCGGACCAATACTTTCCTTGTTACTTCACGATCTTTCACAACGTCTTTGTGTTCCTTTTAGATAGATTATATATCTCTTGTTTTGGTCGTATGTGTTTATATTTTGATCTAGATAAATGCGGCTCATAGGTTACCATCTCAGATTGAGACTTTTTTTGAAATCAGTAACATTAAGAGCATATTTTTACACAATTCGCCGCTTATCATTGCACGTATGCAATATTATTTACAAACTAACCGCTACAATATAGACGCTCCTAGTAAACGTTTCGATAAAAAAAATTAATAAATTTATATCAACACGTATGTGTTCATTTTTTATTGCGATGTTTACGCGAAATGTGCAATGCGTTGCAAATATCGCGCGCAGCGATGCATTGCTTTAATTAAAACATATATCATAATTATAAATGCAACACAATGCGGACCTATTTTTATCACAGCGGAACACAGTCAGGAAGTGTCACGTAATTATTCGAAACAATTGCGAGTTACAATCTAGGTTTTGTTCTTTTTTTTTTTTTTTTGCTAAAGCAGAAGTCTACGAGAGAAAACTTCATTATTATAATATCTGTTTATATGTACATAAGAAACAAGATAACCCGCGGCAGAGTCAAGTCAAGCGAGTAAAAGTCAAGAGTTTACCAAATGTCACATCTGATTTACCATACTATACACATACACATTATTCTTCAAGTAAGTCATAATAAAAGCAAAGCGAGTTAATTGCTTGCGCTTTGCACTTAAAGAGATAAGTCGAGGAGTAAAAAAGTCCAACACAAAAGTCATCGAGGAAGGCAACTTCTGTGAATAAAAATAGCGTTTTCGTCAATAGAATTGCGCAAATTAAATCCGTTCGAGAGACATTAATCTTTTTTTCTTTCATTCTCGATCATCGAGAACGTAATATCGACAACGTGGAAAGATTAGCTTCTAATGAATTATTTCTAACATGCACCAGTAGCATTCTACGAACTTTGTACGTGTGATAAGGTGATAAAATGAGTGAGAGAAAGTGATAGAGAGAAAGAGAAAGAGCGAGAAAGGTATAGAATATAAGAAAATAATCGTTATAGTCATTCATCAATGCAAAGAGAGCAGACTTAGTTTATAATTATTATTTATAAAAAGAGTTAATAGTGTGTACGTATGTGTATTTACATGCCGCTATGTTTAATGCCTTTAAGAGACTCTCCTTGTGCTACAGTGTAACCTCGTTTCTCGTTCGAGTGCTTATGATATTCTATACCGTAAGACAGATTTTTTTTTTTCTAGTATCTCTAGATACACATTGCATCGACGTAGTAGCGAGGCTGCGCTGTGATCCACAAAATCGGAGCGTCGATTTGAGTGATTTGTCTTTCTTTAGACATTAATGTGAAAACCAATATATAAGTGCGCGTATAAAGTCGTTAAGTCCTACGTACTATCGCGTTTATGCAATTCAATGCAATGCTGTAATGGATCATTATTATTGTCACAAACAGAATAAGATATACTTCTGTTGTGAGACTCTGTGAATCATCATGAATCATGCGACATTTGAAGAATTTTTGCGATAATAATTATTTTTGAGGACGATTGTAAAATTTTGATCGTGGTCTTCGAATCACAAAAAATAGTAAGAACAAAATAACTTTGTACCATTATTACGTGTCGATAGATGTAAGATTATTAATAATGACGACAACAATAACACTTATTACATATTACAAATAATAATTTCTTGTGATTACATCTCTGTATAAAACGTATATGTATAGATACATATATGTGTATAAGAAAACCAATTCAAAATATTGTAGCTAATAGAAAAGTGTATGGTAGAGATGAATATATGAGAGAGAGAGAGAGGGAGGGAGGGAGAGAGAGAGAGAGAAAGAGAGAGAAAGAATGTGTGTGTATTGTATTTCTAAAAATTATCATTTGCAAAGAGTATTTTTAAAGTATTTCCAATTATTTTTTAGTATTATATCGGATACTCCACTGTCTCCGGTGAGACTCCGATAGAAATGCGCGTAAACATATGAAAATACCACTTACAAGACGTAAATTTTAGCGTTCAATACAATGTCCCAAACCTGTTGATTAAATACTGTGAAATATGGAATGCGAATTCTTTTTTGAACCCAGCCTAAATTTTCCTCGACTCTTATTTTTATTTCAACTTTTTTTGCTAATATGTTTTGTTGAAACAATTGTTTGTGTCTCAAAATATTGACAGAAAATCTTTTTTATGCATTTACTTGTCTCTCACAAAAACAAAAGAGAATTCCTCGAGCAGTTTTTTCTTCTTGGTTTTGCAGTTTCCGAAACAAATACATAAATATATAAATTTCTTGTAGTTTTTATAAAATATAATTATCTCAATTTAAATTTTAGAGATATATCTACAAAATTTTTATAGATACATGTTTAGATTTTTTTAAAAACCACCAGGACTATAAATATTATTTTGTGACATTTATTTAATAATAAATAAACCAAAATTTCTATAGAGGATATTCAAATTATCAAATAATTAACAATAAAAAATGTTTATCTATCTACAATAATGTTTATCTCCAATAATAAATTTAGATAATATATTTTTATTATTTTTACATCTATTGCTCTTCCTTTTTTACTACTAAACTTATATTTTGCATTATATCTCATATTTAGCGTGATACTCTTTTTTGATTGTGTTTGATATTTATAATTTTCTAATATTTACAAAACGAGTATTATAGAGAAGTAAACAGGCAGCCATATTTGGCTCCAGATTCATTTATGGATCTTGTTAGTATATATGTAGATATATTATCGTTCTTGCTAACAACTAAATCAATAATTAATCCGTGTCATCAATAACAATAACGATCATTAATATCAATGGGAGAAAATAATTTACTTCGAACGACATTCAAATTAGATATCTTGGTATGTTCAATCGTTTTTGCGAGCAACAAAATGGCGCGGAATACATACTCATAATAAGACAAAGAAAAATGTATTACCTGTTACTTTGGCAGGACTTGTGACAGACTATTACAGGCCTCGTAATCAGGAACACGCAAAATAAAAAAAAAGCGTACACAAAACACGCGAATACACGGCGTAATCGTCTATGAATAATCAAAAATATATCTCGCGGAGACAACTCTTCCGAAATGCACGATTCCGCGACTGCGTTTTCAAACTCAGCGTTGACTCGCTATTGGTCGCGACGGATATGCGGACGGGCGACAACGCGCATGCGACGCGCGCTCCCATTGGCCGGCGCGGCTGCGCTGTCATATGACGAAGCTGCGTGGCATGACGGGACGGCGGATCGCGATTTTGCAACATGGCGGCGAAGTGAGGGCGAAGTTGCGGGTGATGTGCCGTCGCGGAAAATGCATATTTTCTAGTCGCCCGTAAACGGTTCCGTTGTTATCCTACAGTCACGCGTGACAGTTTAGTACGTGTACAAGTGTTGTCGATCCGGGCCAGAGGCGGTGATGCGCGTGGTAAATATGACCGAGGAAGCCAGTGGCGCGGCGACGAAGGTGACACCCCGCGGCACCGTGTGCTTCTGCACGTATGGCAGGGACTAGGGCCCGCTTTGATAAGGGAGCTCCGCTACTTTTGTCCAAGCGAGCCGCGGGCAAGTCAGCAGCATCAAGTAACCACGCGATGTCGTGGCCAGCTCTGCCGAACTGTGAGAATGTGAGTGTCGTGTTCGCTGTGTACCTCGTCTCTTGGGCCGATTGCTGTACGCGACATTCGTACGGCGCGTGTTACCGACGACAAAGTCGTAGCCCTGCGTAATTTCGGTAGCTACGAGTGCGTGTGTGCGTGCGTGCGTGTGTGCGAGATCGCTGAAGGATCGTGTTCCTAGAATCGGCGAGGCCGCGCCGCCGTTCGTCCGCTTCTGAGAATTTCGGTGCAGCGACTCGCGCACACGCTGTCCGAGAAATAAATCCCGACGCCCGTATATTTGCAGCAACGGGCGCGTCGGCCGCGCGATCGTCGATTGCCGAGAACAGAGCGTAATTCGCGGAGCGAGTAAGTCAGCGGCGAGTCCATTGTGTCCGTTGATCACGCCAGTTGATCACGTTTCGTCGGTTCTCACGGCGAGCCTTTCCTCGTCGCACGTTCGTAGCGCCGCTCTCCGCTCGCTCCGTCTGTCATCGGCGATCGGAAGACACAACGACGATGAGCTCATCGTCGTCGGGAGACACTCGCCTACGTGCATCTCTCCGTTCAATTTCCCTTTCCTTGCTTCCGCGTCGCCGAATACGCAAAATGACACATCTCTTTTTAAACGGCGGCCTTTTTTAGCGCTCGCTCGCCGATATGTACCGAGAGGTTCATTTCTGGTCTCGGTAAACGTCAATGCAGCGATACTCCAAAAATATTTCGCATGTCCATGGTAATCTAAACGCATCGCAGATAGCGCTCCGATAATACCGCTAATTTATGAATGCTCGATATGCCCAGTGGTTCTTTCAAATGTGTTCGGTGCTTGTTGACAAGCTGTGCAACTGGCTATCACCAGCTGCTTTGGCTTTTGCTTGCAAACATTAGCATTTTGCGCAATTGATGAATTATTAACAACTGATGTCGTGAAAACTGTGCATGTGACATAACTGACATTTCCACGCAGTTAGAAAATGGTTTTTATGGTTAGGATCATCAATTGTCAAAAAGCAAATGCGGATATCTTTATTGAATTTTGGTGCAATCAGCAATTTTAATTTGTTTTTTTCCTAAAATTACATATAAAAGCTACATTTTGTCATTTCTGAAGCCTGTTTCACGAAAAATTTGTGTATTTTAACTGAAATTGTAAGATTTATCAAATAATCATAGTTTAAATATTTAAGATGGAATAGTTATATTCTAGAATTACTCTTTAGAAATTGCAATATTATTGTGAAAATTTCGACTTTTACAAACATTTGAAGAAGACAAATTTATGTAAATTTATTACTATTACTTATTGAAGTAGTAAATGATATTTTTGCATATTATGAAAGGAGGTTGCTGCTGCACCCAAATAATCTCATTTACATACAATGAAGTATTCTAAATAGTTACAGCGTTTTTGTATTGTCTCTAATCTTAAAAATATGTATACTACAATGCGTATATGTTGCGAACACAACGACACAAAGAAATTTAGAAATTTAGATTATACTTAAACTAAAAACATTTTTAACTTGCGTAAATTTATTTACGTAAAGATATTTTTTCTAATTTTCAGATATATGCCAGAAATAGAAGCTCTAGAAATTACTGTGATTTCTGATCGTACATGCGTGCCAAACACGAATATATAAGAGGACGTTAAGAAGGGATCCAATGGTTTCCTGACATAATGGAAGGCAATATATATGTGAAGAATGAACCGGGACTTGAAGAGCAATCACTCGCAAATCCACAGCCCAACTCGTCTGCTGAAGACGGTATGGGAGGGGCGAAGATCTGCTTCATTTGTGGTGCCGTGAGCCGCGGCGATCAGCATTGGTTACGAGCGAAACAAAATCCGAATGCGCCCAATGAGCCTTTCTATCCTTTCCTCGAGTCGCACGAGCCACCTAACGGCTATCGTGGCGAGGATATTAGAAATGGCGCTGTCAAAGTGTGTAGCCTCTGTCACATTTTGGTATCGCAGCAGTGGGAGGCATACGAACGGGAGGCCAAGCCTCACAGCCAACGCATCTATTGGCTGAAAAGATGTGACGGCGGCCCATTCACGGGAGCCGAAATGGCACTCCAGGGCGAGTACGCCGCCCAGGTGTTGGGCTTAACGAACGATCAGATGCCGCAAATCAAGCAGGAGAATCGAGGCGAGAGATCTATGGGGTTCTCGCCGCGATTGCCACCGAATTCGCCTTCCCCAAGAGTGGAACAGACTAGGCCACCGTCGAATTCGATTGAGCTACCGAGGCCACATTCTAACACAGCAGAAACGCATAGACATCTGGAACAAGCGAGACTTACGATGGAATCTCCGCATCACAGATTGCAGTCACCTCACCAAAGATTGCAAAGCCCGCGACAGCCTGTTGAGGAAGTTAAAATATCCACTGAAGCGGCGTTGGATCTGAGACACGTACCTGAGAAACGCTCACCTGTATCCAACCCGTCACAACCTCCAGGTTGTAATCTTCAGTATATTTGTCATGTGTATTTAAGACCGATTTAGTAATTGAGATACACTAAATGTAGGAATCAATCTGTATTCAAAATTCAAGAAGAAAGAATGTATATTTTATGTATATATTTTTTATTTTTTTTAATAACAATCGGCCTTTGTAATAGAAATTTTACTTTGACAATAATACATTACGTAGGCTATTATTATTTTTTCTGTTTTTTTTCAATACTATTCTTATATGATGTTATCTTTTTCTAGAACTGAAACTGTTTATTTTGTAATTTTAATAAACCAATTGTTTTGTACAACGATATTATGCATCGACAAATATCAATCGATCTTTTAAATTAGAGTATGCAGAGAACAGGACGAAAGCAACTGTACATCGGAATCTTCCTAATTATTAAATTGACCCTTGGAGTTTAATTGGATCTTTATCTGAGGTCGACTTACCGCGTCTTTACTCGTAACTTCAAGAGAATCAAAGAATGCTCTGTTTGTCATACAGGGTGTTCGTGGTATGGTCAATGAATAAATAACTCTTTATGAAAAAAAAAGCAAATCGAAGATAAAGTATATTACTTGATTTACCGCAGTTGTTGGCGAGAAAAATGTCGAATATAATAGTACCGAGCCTATTTAACTATGTTTTAGCGTTTGACCAGACATAAACATACATCTATTTATACGTAGTATATATCTTGGCATCCTGTGTGAAAAAAGAGCGAGACTTGTTTCGATTAATGCGCGAAAGTATCGACAGTATAGCATAAAAACCTAAAATTATATCAAGGCATCTTAATATGCATTCAAGTTTTAAAATATATCTGATAACTGTACATTTATAGGTCAATTTGCGTGATCGGATAGTATATCTAAGATTTATCTTCAGATACTCTGTAGCCATTAAAACGGTTCATATAGTGCGTATTAAAACGGTTTTAAATATAAAATTTGATTGCGCTTAAACTCGAAATCACTCAGATATCTTATAGGACTAAAAGCTATTTTTTTTTCATCGCTATTACTTGGTATCTCACATTAAAATGTGTGCAAAGTAAACACGCGAATTAGGTCACTACGCTAGCTCTAGTCCTTCCGTGCTTCAATGTAAACATTTGAAAGTAAAGGTTAACAGTTTTTTTTTGTAGATAAGACGCTCGTTACGAAAGTCACGGCCGAAGAGTCGACCGATTCATTCAGCGCGCACTTTCAATCTGAGTAACAATTCCGAAAGATTTTCCTATTCTCAACGTACGCGCTCGCAGAATATTTTAGCTTTTGATGACCTTTACAATTTCGATCGGTCCGATATGATATTCATTAGTCAACACATGCCCCGATAGATAACCGGGTCGTTTGAAATAGTTGTATTGAAACAGTACGCTCGCAAGTTGAATGCGAAACTGCAAAACCGTTGGGCTCCCCGTATTCGGATATAGCATGATGATAAACTCGCTGAAAAATGCTGGCTCTAAGTGGGCCACGTGCGGCGCGACGATAATACCGAAGGCTTGCGAGATTCCCGGAACAACAATGCAACAAACGGCGGCCGGTTGATGTGCTCGCGAGATTTTACTTAAGTTCACGTCGCTGCCTTAGAGTTATTTACGCTGTTTCCGCGATGACGAACGATTTGTATAACAAATTGTCCATCGGTTTGATTGCAGCTATTTACAGCGGTGGATCGTCGTCCAGCGTCGGTACAGACATTCTGGACCTATCGATGCCGGACAAGAATTCGGTGACAGAAGTCTGTTACGTGTGCGGAGATGAATTCAAGAGGGGATCTCTCAGTCACCTCGCTGCGAGGCCATTGTCAAACCCGCCGCATCCTTCTTCCAGTCCGCCACCGTTCTTTCCGTCATTATTGCTACATCCAAGACCGAGTAGAAGTCGGCCTATGGATAGCGCAGGTCGTGTACAGGTATTTCTTCACAAGTACACTTTTTTGCCTGCTATTATTATTACTGTTTCGAACAATTTTTACAATAATTTATTTGTCGATTTTGTGTTTCAAGGCGTGTTCGGCGTGCCAGAGTCATCTTTTATTACAATGGCACGCATACTCAAGGCAGAAAATACCGCACGGTGAAAGAAATTATACTCTTCGTAAGCGGCAAGCCCCTGCAATGGACACGACCACGTTTATCTGCTACACATGCGCTCTCGAGTACCCTTCATCCAGTATTAGACTTCTGTATTGCTGTCCTAATCCAGAGAAGGAGGCGTACTTCCCTTTTATTTATTCTCTGAGACCTCCGCCAGGAGCTAGTCCTATTAGTCCTCAGGGAATGGTGCAGGTTTGCTCCATTTGTTATAAAGCTATTCCGCAAAAACAGCAAGTGTTTGGCGGAGAAAATCACGAGGCGCAGCCGACTGGCCAGAGTGTTGATTTTCGTCAACAAGGTTCGTTTCTGTTAATTCTCGGAAATATTTATACAGATTTATTTTGTGTTTACGCGAGAATATTATAAAGGGATTTTTATTGTACACAGGTCCTTCGCCACGGCCTGCTGTACCAAAATCTCCTGCTAACTCAGCCGGCAGCGACATCCGTTTCAAGCCATATGACCTAAACAAATCGTCAGTTGCCACAAGTAAGCAACGCAGTAGTACCAGCAGTACTACCGCAAAAGCTCCCACACCAGGTCAACGTAATTCACCCAGCAACGGTCCTGCGGAAAATGGTAGTGTCGCTGGTCAGAATTATAGATTGAATTGCTATATCTGTGAGAGATTATATCCTCGCACTCATATGGAATGGTGAGTCCCGCTCGACGATTTATTGAAAAATCACAATCAGCGAAATTTTTATGTTACAGAATATCGTAATATAACGGTTTTTTCTTTATTATTCAGGTTATCCACGAGTCCAGAAGGAATGAATTCACATGCTATGCATTTTCCTTTCTTGAGGGGAATGGCGCGTACATCAGAGTACGGTTGTATGGATATGTACGGCAGGGTATTAGCGTGTACTCACTGTGTAAATCATCTTGCGCAACAGTGGGAAACTATGGATGCTGAACGGATTCCTTTAGAACGCCGCAGGTTAGTTTGTTGCGACAGCGACAATCTAATGTAACAACATTAGCTATTATTAAATGTTTTGCATACATTACGTGAGTTAATAGTCAAGTAAAACCGGTAAATTAAATGTCTTTTACACTATGTTTTGTTTTTTATTCAATTTTCGTGTAAGAAAGAAGGTTGACAAATACATAATTTTCTTTAAATAATTTATGGTAAACCACACATTTATTTGTTTGTTTTATTTGTATCTGCTAATTATCTGATATTTCTTCTAGGTACGATATTCCTAGTCCACATCCAAATGGTGACGTGAATCGATCAGTCGCGACACCACCGAGTTCCAGTTCGGATCGAACGTTTGGAAGCAACCCGGGCACGTCGAGTAGCTCGATCTATTGTTTCCTGTGTGGTTTACATAGTGATTTGACTCTTGCGAGAGTACTTTACAGTCGTCCGCAAGGACGGAATGCACCGTTCTTCCCTGAACTGTTGCGTCATCAGTCACCGCCGAATGCCGAGCAACTTCGTGAGGATGGCTCTGCTTTGGTCTGCACATTCTGCTATCATTCACTGTTGGCGCAGTGGCGTCGATATGAATCTCTTCAGCAAAATAATCCTGCCGAGCGTCAGTACAATACGCACGACTATTACTGTTATGTCTGTGGAATTATGACATACAGAAAGCGAGTACGAGCACTGTCGGTGAAGGACTTTCCTTTCCTGAAGTATCACAGGCAGGCAGACAAAAGTTTGTTGTTGGAAAACGGCGATTACGCGGTGGTCTGTCTGGACTGCTACGAGACGCTACGTTCACAGAGTTGCGAGTACGAGAGGTGGGGATTACCTATTGAGAAACGGGAATACAACTGGATTGTGCAGCCTCCACCGCCCGAGGACAGTCCTGACGCGGCCATAGCCAGGTTACCGTCCGGCGAAAGATCCGAGAAAGTGGTAAGTATATTGCCGATCGCAAAATATCAATGGCGTAACTCGCGCATGATATAAATAATTAAAGTCAATTATACGCCGTGACAGAAACAGATTACTATGGTTATCTGCTTATTTCCGACAGGTTCCACCGACATTGACGGCCAGGCCAACGCGAAAAAATTGCTCGCCAAAAGCGCCCGACAAAAAGGCACCAGCAAAACTTCCGGAAAAGGAACAAGGTAAGTGATAACTTTCTTTTAGAAAAAAAAAAAACAAATTATATATAAATTATATATAATACATATTGTTTGGCTTCCTATGTTGGCCAAACAAAAAGATGACTGGTTTCTAGAATATCTGAACATAAGAACCACATTCGACGTTCTTCTTCTCAGAGATCGGTCATTACTGACCACAGAATAAATTTTGCTCACGATTTCGATTGGAATGGAGTTAAAATTTTAGATAATGAACATTCCTTTTCGAGACGCTTTGTTTCCGAGATGCTTCATATAAAAAAGCAGAAGATGAGTTTGAACTTGCAGAGTGACACAGATTTACTTGACAATGTGTATGCGCCATTAATTGATAGATTTACAAAGATATGACTTTTAGTTGTTGTGTACTTGCGCTTTTGCGTGTCTTCCCCACTCTCCGCTCAATTTAAATGGTTTTATCTTCTCTGTTTCTTTCAACGTTTTAATATACCTTTGACTGTCATATCGTGTTTTACTTTGCTGACTTCCTTTTTTGACATCTTTTATTTTTATTTTTATATGACAGTAAAATTAATTATTTTCTTTTTAATTATAAGTGGTGCGTGGTTGGAGATACGTGAGTACAATTTTTTTATCGCATTTGTTATCCACCATTTTTCTAGTTTTTTCTTGTTTTTATTTTTTATTTTTATTTTGTTTTTTTGTACAGGCATTTTGTCTGAAGATGACTCAATTTAGAGTCGAAACGTTACGGTTACCTTTATTTGAATAAATTACATACACACTAATACTTGTGTTAAAGCTCATATTGGTCCTTCACACATTGGATATTGTTTGTTAAACATTTGAGCTTTCATTTCTACCGTTTATATATATTTTTAAAAAAGATTCGGTAAGACAGAAGGCACGATGGAAGGCAAGCGAAATAGAAGATGAAACGTGAGTAGTGCTCTTAAAAATTCAACAGACAAAAACAAACTACCATAGAATAACTATCCTAGAACGCAAGTCTCCTATAGTTGCGTTCGAGCGAGTTTTCGCTGCTTTTTCGCCATCTTTCTAATTAATTCCCCTTCTTTTTATTGTTATATCTTTTTTTTTCTTTTTTTATCTCATGGATCTTCTAGTATCTCGAATTACGTAAGAAAATATCTTTCTCAAAACGTCTTACTATATCGCTTGCTCTTACGGGAATATATCTCGTATATGTGCGCTTTGTGTAATTTAAATCCTACGATTTTGTCCGCATTTTTCTCCGAGCGGATAAATTACATCGTACGTTTAAACAGTAATTCATTTAACATATACTTTGATTATGTGTTCTGTATTATATAATCATATTGTGAGAATATATCGCACGCGCTACGGTATATCTCGTTACAGTTTTATTCGCCGACACCGCGTGCATTCACCCGAGAAAAGCTCTCTTGCCGCGAAATGTTCCCTTGCGGCTTTGTTGCTGTTAGTCTGTAACACTTTCGTTTCGTTCTTGTCCTTTTTCGTCCTGACTTACCGGCGGCGTGCACGCCCCTCTAGCACGGAGGGGAAGGCACGTCTCTTCGAGTTTACGCCGTTGGACGTGTGAGACCACCGTGCAAACCTGCCATTTAGGAGTCGTAAACTTGCACTCGAGCAGGCCGTTGAAGTCGCTTTTTTAATCTGGTCGGGACAAGCTTGTAAAAAATATATTAACCAAATGACCTTTTCCTGTGTTCCAACATCGTCGTTCTTTCTTTTATGAATTCTTAAATTAATTCGCGACGTCAATATATTTCCTTTTGTTTTGTTTTTTTTTTTTTTTTTAATAAAAAAACCTTGTTTTACAAATTTGCGATTATCTCGTGAATCTGTAGAGAATAATAATTCTCTTGCAACAAAAAACTGTTTATCGAGAGAAGAAGACAAAGTTTTCAATTTATTTTATCTGTCGCTTCTTTGCCATATTGATTGTAAAAGCATGAATAATGTAGCATCAAATTTACATATGTAGAAACAATACCGAAGAACCTATACATTTTTCGTTTAACATCGTTGAACGCGCTCTTAGTGTAGTTATAAAAGTCGTACATCCGGAATACTGTGCATGAATGCACGGAATGTTCCGGGAATGCTTAAGTGTCATTATTCGCGATAATAATATCCGTTTTGTTGGAAAATCATTCTCAATAAAAGAGCTAATAATTTCTCTATTGCGGACTTCCGTCCCGTACGACTTCTGCATTGTATGTAATCAAACGGTATGCTCATGTGAGAAAGCACCTGTACGTTACGTCGTCAATATCTGCAATTTACCGTATATTGACGAAAATTATGGGTTACGTGAAATAGCGCCCTTTACCGTTTATAATACGGCACGCACTTTGAAGTTTCATACATCTTTGATAATAATGGACGTGAGGTTTTTTAACAAACCGCAAGAGAAAAGAAGAATTAATCTTTCTCTACATTTTAAAATTTAATTTAACACTATATTTTTGTAACTTTTTGCGAAGTTTTCACTTTTAAAATATTTATCTGTTGTTTTTTACGGATGTTAAAAATGTTTTGATTTATTTTTTACCATTTAAGTTTTCGCCATTCTCGCGAATACGTAAATCACATTTTTGTTAATACGTCGTACAAGCAACTAAATCTTTTTTAGCAATTCAGTTCGTTGAATTCGCGACGGGTAAATTGCGACGACGGAAGTTGCCGGAAAGTTCCGAGAATGAAAAGTAACAAGAAAACCGTAAAAGTCGTCGGTAACTCCGAGTTTCGCGCCCTCCTCGACAAGACGGTGAGAAAGGAAGTGCGCACAGGTAAGCATAATACGATCGTCAAGATCAGAAGGTCGATTAAGGTCGATCGATCTGGCTTAGAGGGTGCCAAAGAGAGGTGGTACACAAAGAGTCGGATAAGACTTAGCGGAGGGCTTAGCGGGCGAGAAGAGCTTGTGCCGCCCGCGGATAGAGCAAGAGGGTTAAAGCGCGGAAGGTAAAGTGTGGCACACATTATAGATGAGAAAGCGCGGTGAAGATGCTAGCGAGTCGGGAGAGGGGTTGAAGGAGAAAGAGCAAACTCCCGCAGCGTGACACCGCATTGCGCCCACTTGCCAACCCGCCCAACACCTAAATTCGAATTAGGGAGCCAGCCCCGTCGTTTCTCGTCAACACGCTTGCTATCCCCGTCCTCTTTTTCCTCTCTCCTCTTCCTTCTCCTCCTCTTCCTGTTCGTCCTTCCCGTCCATCGACCCTCTTCACGACAAACGTACGAGGGCGAGATGTCAGCCCTCTTACCCCGTTCGTACACAACGTCCATCTGCGACCCTCTTATTCACTCTCTCTTACTTGCGGTGAGCAATCAGCGGGAGGGTATGACCGCCGTTGTCGTCTTCCTACGGGAATCGATATCAATGTCATCGGTGAACTCGTCTCTCTCCTTATCCCCCGATAACTGACAATGCGTTCGACAGTGTGCTCGTGACTGTTCCACTTCCAGGCACGCGGCCAAAATGCTCGATTTCGCTCGTGTATTTGACCGTCTCTCGAAATCGGTGCCAAGGCGAGATCCGACCTCGCTGCCTCTTCTCTATTTTGCGAGCTAATGCCGTACATTCTTTTGTCCGTCTTTCGCGCATCTAATTATTGAACGAGAATAAAAATAAAACTCTTACGTCTTTAATTACGTCCTACTTTAAAAATAGCGAATTTAAAATTGATTAAAAAATATTTAACACGTTGAACATTACGTCACTCATTACTGAATGATGGTTTTATTCATCAAAATGAAACAAATCAAAAACATCAAATATCAGATTAAATGAAACAAATTTTGCCAAACCTTTGAGTGCAAGATTTAATAGTATTTATTTAACAGTATTTAATATATCGCAAAATTAGTAATTTGGGTTAGTAAAAAATATATCTGATTTTTTTCCCTGACCGTTCAACGTTGTGTAAAGGTATAATATAAGACTTATAAAAAATATGTCTAGAAAGAATAATATTAAATTTTTACAGAGGGAAATAATTTTATACGTTTTACAAAAATTTTTTATTTGGCATGTATATATAATTCCTTTCCATACTCTGTGTATTGAAATGAAATTTTGGAATCAAGCATATAATATCAACCGGACGTTTTTGGGAGCGCGTTGATTACCAAACTTTGAAAGAGGGTGAAATTTAAACCGGGTGATGACGCGGTTCCGCGAGTGATTTAATCGGATATCTACGCTCTGTGAAATCTGCATTTGGGCGCTTCGTGAATACCACAAATTCATGTAGAGGTGTTCCTCTCAACGCGCTCTCGAGCATGTATCTAGCTTGGCGCGTGTTAATAATTAACCACCGCCGACTGCCTCGCCTAAGTAGAAGCGCTCTCGACGGCGCTGGCAAGCCGGTTCCATGGCTCGTTTCATCACGAATAAACCTTCCTTCCGGTTAGTTCCTCTTTTCTGCTTTCTGCTTTCTCTCGCACGTAGTTCCTTTCTTTCGCTTCGATCCGTTCATCACAGTCTACACGTGTCCGACAAATGATTCTTTTCATGAGAACGATGTTTCTACTGCTATCAATTTACTTAATTCAGCTCTCGCGGTTGTTTGCGCGGTAATTCGCGAAGTAATTATTTTCAAGTTATATTAATTAGCAAAGTGAAAGTTAACAACTTCGTAATGTTCCTATTTTTTTTCACACACTATACATATTGTTATATATACACGTGAATTTTAGAACGCAGACAAACCAATTCTCGGTAACCATAAATAGAACGTAAAAATTTGAATCTATAAAAATTAATTGTATCGTATGCGAGATCGTTTCTCGCTGTGAAGCTTGCAATAAGAATGGTATTTAGTTTATTAACTCCTTGGAGAATATATTTATTTTTAACTGAAAAAATATAAATATTACTTTCTGTTTATAGAAAATTACAAAATTCTTATGAAAAAAATATATAATGAACAGTGTGTGTGTGTGTGTGTGTGTGTGCGTGTGACAACAATTTCTTTGATTACACAAAAGGTAATTGCGAACGTCGCTCGGGACGCTTCGTATGCGAAGTTACTCTCGTTGGAACGCGATAAGAATAATACAGCTTATTAACCCCCTAGAGAGCGTCGACGCGTTATCATGCGGCGAAGGGAGGTCGTGAATGGGGGTCGACGAAGGCATGACTGGGGAAAAGGGGGGCAAGAGAAGGGAATAGCGACAGTGAGCGTGCGTTTGTTCGGCGGAAAGAGGGAGCGAGAGAAAAAGTGAGCGGCGCCCCGAAAGAGGATACGAGGCGAGTGCGGCACGGAGGTGGAAGAGGATAGTCTGGGGGTTGGAAGGAAGGAGCGAGGGGAGAGGTTCCCTGTCGCCGCCATGTATTGATTTTGCCCGACAGACAGTCGGCTGTTGGGCTGTCTGCCTCGTAAGCCTAACACGCCGTTCTGTGGCCTGTTGTCACGTGGGCCCTACCGTAGGCGCCACTCTACTTTCTTTTTTTACCTTCTGAAGTGGGTGATAGTACGGTCCCGAATGGCGCGGGTGGTACTTTATTCAGCGCTCACCCTCACGAGAGGCGCCTTCTGAACGACGATTAGAATTGATATATGGAACGGAAATATAAAAAAAAAAAAACAAGAAAGACTTTGAACCACCTCACGTGTTATCAAACGCAATGTATTGCGACGCAGTATAATTTTGTTTGAATAATGAGCATAAAACTTTCGTAAAACAATTCTGAATTATTTATAACTAAATTCTATCGTTGTCTTATTTTTCTAAGATGGTTGCGACACTTTTTTGCATTTCAATCAAGGAAATATCGAATATTCTTCAAAAACTTTGTTTTCTAGAAACACAAAATTTTATCTATGATTGATGGTCGTTCAAAGAAGTTTTTCTTGATGAGGTAAAATATGTAGGTTTATAGTTTAGAAGTATTGGACATTATCAGACATTATTATCAAACATAATGCTCTTTTAATTTTTTTTTTTTAATCATTTTCTTTAATGTCTTTGTTTATTCATCATCGAGCAATTTCTTTTTGGATTCCAATCGAAATAGACGTGTGTTTTCTTCGCGACTGACTGTCGATCATCTGCGGCTCGCATCTGTCAAACATGTCGGCACTCAATCGCAATACCTATATCATGGTATAATCCGATTCTTCCGTGTCGGAAATCCCCCGGGAAGCCCATAAATACGTCGTTCACCGTCTGTCCTCTGCGCTGTCGCTTTATTAAACACACGGTACATCGAGAGAGAGAGAGAGAGAGAGAAAGTGTGTGTGTGTGTGTATGTGTGTGTATCACGATCTCTCTGCGACGCAAGACGAGAGTAACAGACATATCGCAGACATTCGTCACCGAATATCAGACTCTACGCCAACTTACGGCCTAATTGATCATCAAATATAGAACGTCGTTTCCCTGTCTGCGTAACACTTGCGCAAACTACTCCAACAGCTGCAGCTATTCATCGCGACGATGTTCCTTCCGAGAAGAAGCTGCCTCACGTGAATTACCAATGCACCGAGTCGTTAGTACGTAACGAAACGACGTCAGAAAGTCACACGATGACTTATCGAACGATTTGCCTCGCTTTCCTCTACCTTCGCACGCGCAGCTGATCGGAGTCTATCAATGCCATAAAATTGACATTACGTACATCAATTGTTTGTATCGCATATATTGCAACTTTTGTGCATTTTTACGGACATTTCTAAATTTAATGTTTTTTTTTATAACAATTTTTTTTCAACTATATACACACACACACACACAGAACGGTGGATTTCCGGGCGTTAACGGAAACTTGTTGCGCCTAGAGTTCTAGAGAGAGAGAAGAGTTTTGAAGGCGCTTTACACTTTCTTTTGCACACCATAAGCACACACACGCGATCGATAGCTATCAAGTTAAGTGCTTCTCTTGACAATTATTTCAAAATCGATACATAAGCGCGCGATAAACATCCCATTTACTGCGATAGTGATAAAAAAAAAAAACATACTTCAATTATTCTCTCTCATGTATTCGTATTATAGTTTGAATGTAATATCAGCAAATTGATACGACGTAACGCCGTAATCGATGTGGATATAACACGCGCGTTTAATAGTTAATTATCAATCCGCTACGAAGCAATTAATGCAGTAAGCATCACTTGCGAATGCACAAAGCGCGCTTGCTGCGCGCTCGCTCCCGTGACATTTGTGCAAATGATGACGGAGAAACGCGGTAAAATTGTTTGGGAATATATCTCGCATTTCCACAGCCTGATGTTTCAATAGGTATTAAGTTATGAGTTACGTCGCACAATAAATCAATAGCTTCGCCCGCTGACGTAATTTCACTTGGTATGCGTTTCGATGTGTACGCACGCATATACACACATGAGTAGTGATCGCGTAGTGGAATAACAACACGTATTGTTTTTAAATTGACCTTAAATTATCTAAAAACTTGGTTTACAAAAGAAGTGATATGAAAAAGTAGCACCAAGTAAACTGTTGTACGTTATTTTTTTACATACTACTAAAACTTTCTCTATAAAACCTCTTTTACAAAATAC